TGTGTATACAAAAATTCATACCTTTTGTGGAGGGACAAAGTACTTCTTCTCCATTGTCTTTGCAGTAGGTTGGAGGGATGCAGGAGTCTGCCATAGAGCTTTTATAGGCTCCAGGATGGCATCATCATTCAATGGCATGGCCATCTTAGGCTGCTAAAATATCCACTAGGGCATAGGAGGATTCGGAGATCTCCTCCACCTGGATACCCAGGTTCTGGGCTACCCTCCTCAGGAGCTCCTGGTGCACCCTGTAATCGTCTGGGAGGGCGATAGTTGTTCCTGCCACCACCTCTTTGGGAGAGGAGGAAGTAGGAGCCTGTACAGGCACAGGTCTGTGTTCTTCTCCCTCTGCCCTGGATGGGTCCCATGGGGGTGGGTCCTGTAGGTCGGTACCAGGCTCAGCACCGGGGACTGATCCCTGTTCCGAAGAGGATGGTGGGGGAGCTCTTGACTTCAATATGACGGAGTAGGACCTTCTGGATTGGGGGCCATGGAGTGGATGGAAAGCCCAGGGATTCCAGAATCACCACTGCAGTGACATTTGCCACTGTGCTGGTGGCCAGGCCGTCGGCAGCCTGCCCTGGGTCATGTCAGCCGTAGGGTATCACCAATTGGAGTAGTGTCTGCTCCTGTGTGAGGCATAGGACTCTGCTTCAGAATTAGAGTCCGAGGAGTCACTTCTTGGCGACCAGGGCAGAGCGGTACCGACTGGCTAAATTTCCTGTAAACAGCGTGGCCACAGAGCAGCCTATTTAGCACCGTCCAAGCTCCCAACTCTGCTGTGGCCGGGGGGTGCGGCCCAGTCTTGACCCAGGCGCAGCCGAAGCGGCCCAGCCCCAGGTGCAGCCTGGGCGGCGTGGCCCCAGGCGCAGCCACAGCAGCTTGGCCTGGCCCGGCCCGGGCAGCACGGCCTGGACCTAGGCATGGCCAGGATGCCCCTCCCCTAGCCCAAACCCAGCCCCGGCCCAGACCTGCTGGGACTGGGGAAGGGGCACCTATCCTCCAGCCCCAGAGCTGCCATGGCATGGAGAGGTGCCTCTTCCCCCCAGCCCAGGTGCTGCTGTGGGGAGAGAGATCTGGGGGGGAGTCCTCTCTCCCTGGGGCAGCCTGCACCCCAAGCCCCTCATCCCTGGCCCCACTCCAGAGCCCACACCCCCAGCCGGAGCCCTCATACCCCTGCACCCCATCTCTGAGTTTCTCATCCCCGGCCCCACCCCAGAGCCTGACCCCCAGCCAGAGCCCTCACATCCCTGCACCCCAACCCTCTGCCCTAGCCCTAAGCCCCCTTCCACACTTCAAACCCCTCAACCCCACCACATGAATTTTGTTATGTGCACCAATATGGAGGTGATGTGTCACACATCACCTCCACATTGGTGCACATAACAAAATTCATTCCGCACATGTGTGGGAAAAATTAGAGGGAACACTGCCGACCGGTGTTGGAGAATGGTGCTGGGAGGGAGGAGATTGGTACTGTGCCAACATGTCTGGCTTGCCCTTCGACAGCACCTGCCTCGGTGTCGCATTGGTCCTTGTTTCCAGTGCTACCACTGTCAGTTCTTGAATGGCTGGGGATGGCGGCACCGGGAGGGATAGTTAGTCCCTCGCTGCCTCAAACATCTCTGGTGAAGATGGTAGTATCAGGGCTATCGAACCCTGGGAGAGCCCAATGGTACCGGATCAACAGTGCCCTTCCCAGGGCTGGAGTCAACGGTACTGCATGCCCCACTGGTGTCTCTGAATGGCCCAGCATAGGTCGCACTCTATTGGCGTCTCTATGGCCCATAGACCTTGGAGTTGGAGAACGCCCCCAGTCAGTGTTTCTCTGCTTCTTTGTCAGCACCGGTGATGGAGAGCAGTGCCAAGAGTGTTTCTCTGCTTCTTTGTCAGCACCGGTGATGGAGAGCAGTGCCAAGAGTGTTTCTCTGCTTCTTTGTCAGCACCGGTGACGGAGAGCAGTGCCAAGAGTTCCGTCCTGGAGTTGACTTCCTCGGCGCCGGGGATGCATGTAGGTGCTGGGAGCCCTGGGCCGTAGGTGTGGAATCCTTCCTCGGTGCCAGGGAGGGAGTATGATGCTGTGCCTCCCTCAGAGATGCCAGGGCGCTTCTCACAGAAGTCGAAGTGCTCGGTGCCGAGTCCACATGACTTGGCTCCAAAGGGGGACAGAGCACTGCCTTCATGAGGAGGAACTTAAGTCTGGTGTCCCTATCCTTTTTTGTTCTGGGTTTGAAGCCCCTGCAGATCCTGCAACACTACTGCACGTGGGCCTACCCCAGGCTCTTAAGGCAGCTAGCGTGTGGGTCATTAACCGGCATTGGTTTATGGCACGACGCCCATGGTTTGAACTCTGGGGACTGAAGCATATCCTGGTGCTGGGGAAGGGCTAGCCCTACTAAGCAGGCTTTGCTCCTGACTATACTACTAACTAGCTAATTAACTAACTAAAACTCAACTTTAAAAAGGTAACTATTTACATTGTACAAAACAAGTTCAATGTGAGAAGGTACTTGCGGGAAAAACGCAAGAACGAACAGAAGTTCCAGCGACCATCATGGGTGGTAAGAAGGAACTGAAGGGGTGGCGTGGTCCTAGATATCGGTGCTATGAGGGCATGACTTAAGGGGGCACCAGAGGCAACCCAATGGATACCACTGAGGGAAAACTTTCCAGTGGCAGTGCTTGGGGAGAGCACACACCTACACTGGAATGGACATAAGCAAGCACTAGAAGAAGAACCCCCAGATCCTTTTCTGCAGTATTCCTTCATAGGCAGTTATTTCCCATTTTGTAATGCACAATTGATTATTCCTTCCTAAGTGTAGTAATTTGCATGTGTCCTTACTGAATTTCATGCTATTTATTTCAGACCATTTCTCGTCTGTCAAGAACATTTTGAATTCTCATTCTGTCCTCCAAAGCACTTGCAACCCCTCCCAGCTTGCAAACTTCATAAATGTACTCTCTATGACATTCTTGTTATCCTTTATGTCCCTAGCTAGTTTAATCTCGTTTTTTGCCTTGGCCTTTTTAATTTGTCCCTGCATACCAGTGCTGTTTTTTTTTATATTTATCCTTCGTAATTTGACCTAGTTTCCACTTTTGTATGACTCTTTTTTGAGTTTCAGATCATTGAAGATCTCTTGTTTAAGCCAGGATGGTCACTTACCATACTTCCTATCTTTCCTATGCTTTGGGATAGTTTTGTGCCCTTAATAATGTCTCTCTAAAAACTGCCAAACTCTCCTGAACTCTTTTTTTCCCTTTGCCTTGCTTCCCACAGGATCTTAACTACCAATTCTGAGTTTGCTAATGTCTGCCTTCTTGAAGTCCATTGTCTTTATTCTGCTGTCTTCCCTCCTACCATTTCTTAGACTCAAGAACTCTATCATTTCATGATCACTTTCATCTAAACTGCCTTCCACCTTCAACTTCTCAACCAGTTCCTCCCTGCTTGTCAGAATCAAATCTAAAATTGCCTCTCCCCTAGTCGCTTCCTCCACCTTCTGTAATAAAAAGTTGTCTCCAATGCATTCCAATGATGCATAATACGATCCTATATCTGCTTATTCTTTTAAACTGCAAAAATATTTCTTTGTAACCAGAAAAGCTAGAAACTGTTTTTCTTTTGAAATGGAAAACAAAATTCTGAAGAACTTAGTACAGAAGATTATGACAATTACAGAACATTATGTGAAAACCCTAATTTTGTTTACTGTTCTGCATCATAGATTTGGACTGCACCTGGAAATACTGTACAGCTCACTGACATGCGATAGAATAGGGGTGGGCAAACTTTTTGGCCCAAGGGCCACATCTGGGTGGGGAAATTGTATGCAGGGCCATGAATGTAGGGCTGGGGAAGGGGGTTGGGGTGTGGGAAGGAGTGCAGGGTGTGGGAGGGGGTGTGCAGGAAAGGGCTCAGGGCAAGGAGTTGGGGTGCAGGAGGGGTGCGGGGTGTGGGGTGTAGGAGGGGGCTCAGGGCAGGGGTTTGCGGTGCAGGAGGGGTGCAGCAGGGGGCTCAGGGCAGGGGGTAGGGGTGCAGGATGGGGGTGCGGGGTGCAGGAGGGGGCTCAGGGCAGGAGGTTGGGGTGCAGGAGGAGGTGTGGAGTGCGAGAGGGGGCTCAGGGCAGGAGGTTAGGAGGCTCAGGGCAGGGGGTTGGGACATGGGGTGCAGGAGGGGTTCGGGGTGTGGGCTCCGGCCAGGCACCGCTTACCTCGAGTGGCTCTGGGGTGGCAGCGGCACGCAGCAGGGCTAAGGCAGACTCCCTGCCTACCCTGGCCCCGCGCCGCTCCCAGTAGTGGCCAGCATGTCTGGCAGTGGCTCCTGGGGGTGGGGTGGGGCAGGCAGCTCCAATGTGCGCTGCCCTCGCCTGCGGGTACCACCCCCGTAGCTCCCATTGGCCGTGGTTCCGTGTTCCTGGCCAATGGGAGGTGCGGGGGGCGGTGCCTGCAGGTGAGGATAGTGCACGGAGCCCTCTGCCCCCACCTCCCCCAGGGGCTGCAGGGAGGTGGTGCTGGCCACTTCGGGGAGCGGTGCGAGGCCAGGGCAGGCAGGATCCGGCCTGCGGGCCGTAGTTTGCGCTCCCCTGCGATAGACCAACACAGTCTATTAACTGTACTTAACACTATTCAGGAGGAGAATCCAGAGGTATATTCAATGTATTAACTAGCATTATGACTAGTTTGTTACATACACCTGTACCCCGATATAACGCGGCCCAATGTAACATGAATTCGGATATAACGTGGTAAAACAGTGCTCCGGGGGGGCAGGGTTGTGCACTCCGGCGGATCAAAGCAAGTTCGATATAACACGGTTTCACCTATAATGCAATAAGATTTTTTGGCTCCCGAGGACAGCGTTATATCGGGGTAGAGGTGTACTTTCATCTCCTGTTTAGCCTAAGCACATAAAACTGTTCTTTCAACTCGAGCAATTTCTTTCTTGCTACACCCAGTAAAGAGATCTAAGCAGCTGAGAGAAGTTTATAGTGTACCTGAGTATCTGGTTTTAGCCCGTGTGCAGCTGTATCGTTGGAGTCTGAGCTGTCAGAAACGTGGGTACTGTGAAAGATTGAACATTGTTTTATTTCCTTAGTTTTGGACTGGAAAAAATATTTTGTTGAGTTCATCCATATAATAAGCCAGTGCCCTGCCCTGCCCCCATAGTAACCCTATTGGGAATGCTGTATAGATTGTGGTTTTCACATTTCTCTCATCTAAAGCACACAATCCCACTGTATAGGCTGCAGGACCTGGAGTTAAGCAATATAACAGTGGGGACCTTGATCATGGGGACTACATTGTTGTCTGACAAACCGTGGTTCCTCAGTACAATCTGATGTGTGCAGATGACATTTCCGGTTTCTAGATAGCCATAATTCTACTTTGCATTTTCACTCTATTTTATGTCATTTCATCTAATAACATCTCATCTTGTTTTCCATAACTGAGCCTTCTATTAGTTCTCTACCAAGATGCAATGTATTGCAGGCATCAAGATAGGCCTGTTTGTATTAAACAAAACAAAAGAAAACAAAACTTCATCTCTTCATTTGCTTATTATTCACCAAGAGGAGTGAAGACTTCAGCTTTGGGACGTGTACTTCTTAGTAATTTATAATGCAGACAGTACTTTGAAGAGGCAGTTTTGAAAATAATGCACTGACAAGGGCCAAGAGATATTTCATTTCCTGTATTAATTAGAAGCATCAAGATTTTCAAAAAATCACAAAATATTACTCCTTGTGAAATGAGTTTGGAGATCTCCAAACTATTCACAATAGGCCAATGTCCACATCTCATTAATCACCTGCACAACTGTCATTAATTAACTTGTCAGTTTCAGCAGTGAGATCAAGGACTGATTGGGCCCTGGAGATTGAATTCCTCCCGATATCTAGGGGTGGATCATTCAGGGGAGAAGCACATTGCTGGGTCATTGTGGGGAATCATGTATTGCTATTGCTTACGATGGACCTATTCTATAGCTAAATGGAGTACAGGACTTCAGACTGGCTCCTTTCTACAGCAATACAGTAGAACCTCAGAGTTACGAATACCTCAGGAATGGAGGTTGTTCATAAGTCTGAAATGTTCGTAACTGTGAACAAAACATTATGGTTGTTCTTTCAAAAGTTTACAACTGAACATTGACTTAATACAGCTTTGAAACTTTACTATGAAGAAAAATGTTGTTTTCTCTTTATTATTTTAGTAGTTTACATTTAACACAGTACTGTACTATATTTACTTTTCCCCCCCGTCTCTGCTGCTGCCTGATTGCGTATTTCCGGTTCCAAATGAGGTGTGTGGTTGACTGGTCAGTTCGTAACTCTGGTGTTTGTAACTCTGAGATTATACTGTACATTCATGTACACTGAAGCAAGTGATACACTTTATCCTACAGTTAGATTTCTCTGCAAACATGTACAGTCGAAAAATAGTGTATTGATTTACATAACACAGCTGATCAAGTTCTGCATCAATTTACAGTCAGTGCAATTCCATCTCTTCCTAAGAGCCTTTAGAACCCCACACTGAGCTAAATGAGAGCCTAGCTTTCTTTTGTAGGACAGAGCCAAGCTTGAGCAGATAAAGGGGTTCTGTCCGCAGCCAACTGACCATTAAAGACTCAACCTGAGATTCATATATAGTTATCTTCCAGTAATTTCAAAATCAAGTTCTTGGTAATTAATCTAATGCCTAGTGTAGTCCTCTTTACCAAAGTGCACAACAAGGTAGACTATATCTCAGTATCTCTCAATAGTTTTGATTTACCTGGAATCTTTGTCTAACATGGCATCTGTGACAGAGGCATCTGAGTCACAATTAAGATTCTCTGAGTTTGTCTTAGCTTGCTGTTTCACCATTTCCTCTAATTCATTCAGACACAGATAATACTAGGGAAGATCATACACTTAGTTAATAATGAAGTCCACTGCCTTATTGAAAGGCACTTATCAAAACCAATATAGTGTTTGTTATTATTACCTTACAGAGTGCCACATTTTATCACATAAATACTTTTATTCCAATAGCTCTAAGAAGGACTTTTCTTACCTTACTCTTGTCTGGATCACAGTAATCCAAGAGGGCATCACAGAAATGGTATCCTATTGACTCTAAGTCTTCAGTGTTGAAGTGAGTGCCCCCTCTATTACCTGAAACATCAACAGAGATACTCACAAATGAAGACATAACTGCTCACTCCCTGCAGTGATATTTTCAGCATGGTGGTTGAAACTAAGTTAAAATTTCTTTGGTTCAAGACTAGTTGCTGCTCCACAAACTTATAATATAGCTCCCAGAAAAACACTCCACCCTTCCAAAGCCCATGTGAAGGCTGTTGGTTTTCCAAGACATCTTGGAACAGTTTTCTACCATCTCAATACAAAGCTCAAATGACATGATTATGACATTGTCTTGTTCTTCCTGTGCTCCATCTGACTGAAGCCAGAGTATGAGCAAAACTTCTTGGAATGGATCTGTTGGTCCCCATGCCTTTGATCAAATAAGGAAGTTAGTGCTTCTTAGTGTCCCTCCACCTCTCACCAGAGGTCAGAGGTTCATTTCCTTCTTTCAGGAGTGGCTCACAGTAATTCTCCACAATGGCAGTCAATAAAACCAAAATGACCTTAAATAAAGCACAGTTTATTTAGCATACCAAATAGAAAATAGAGAGAAAAGTCATGTAACTACAAATTAAATTGAATACACTTGTTCATTCTAGAGACTGCACAAAATGTTAGGCTGGCCGGCCAAAAGTTTTGGGATAATAATCACTGAATAGTTCCTATAGTAAAGCTCTGACATTCTGGACTTGGCAAAGCCATGTGTCTGGTCAGCACTCTTGGTCTGTGTGTGACCTCCTCCTTTCTCTGGACAAGCAAACACCCTCTTTTATAGCCACGATGGCCTTTTCTACACTAAGAAAAATTTGACCTGTACTTCCCCACTGGTGCAACAGTGGTGGAAGCTCTTGTCCAGACAGCGTAAGAATGTCGCAGACATGTGCACACTAAAGCTTCCCTATCGCTATTACTGATGGAGCTCCACCTACAGAAAATTCTAAATCCATGTTTTGCCAGTATACACAGGTTCCCCATTCTGAGTGTCTCAGAGGGATGGAATTATATATGACATTACTTTCAACAAAACCAGCTTGGGACTAATAACGTTTCTTAATAAGCAATCTCTCCACTCATTTGTACAATTGTTTCTGGCATATCTATTTCTAGCAATTCCATTTAATTTGGTAGGCAGGCCCACTAATTAATTATGTATTGGTTTCCAGTACATGTCTGTAATAACTGTGGCCTGAAAGTTAATTTATGCATACCCTGTGTTAAAACGTTCACTCTAACTTCATAGAATTTGTTATTTATCTCTGTTAAATAGGATTCTTTGAGGATGGTAGCTAAAACCATCACAGATCACTACTGCATCTGTAAAAACAAACAATCAAAACCAGATTTTGTTTGATGACCCCTACAATCTCCCTTGAATAAAAAGGTCTTACCTAGTTTAGATCCACAAAAAGTGGCTTCCAAAGTATAGCTGTTGCGGATGCCCATCTTCCACATCACTACTCGACCTGTCCCTTCTTTGCTTTTCTGTACTTTGAAATTGCAATCTGGGAATGAAAACTTAAAAGAAGGATGTAGGGTCAGTTCTCTGTCTTTTAAGGAGCACCCTTTCCCACTAAAATAGAGATGAAGTTAGCAGTTTCTTCTTAACTTCACTAATGTGTAAAACTTTCAAGCCCAAGTAGGAAAATAGTTAAAGGTTCAATCCATCCTTCTTTCACCTTGTAGTACATAAGTATTGCATCACACATGGTGCATGGCAGTTTTTCAATATTTAGGTACAACAGAGCGGTGGGTGGAATGAGAATCCGTCTTTGATTATACCAGTTTGTTTTACTTTAACAAGGATTTGTAATCATTACACATGTAACACCTTTTAATACTGCTGTTCATACTACCCCCTTTAGTTGAACTAGCACCAGACTACTGGACCAGCCCCCCAAAGCCTCCATTTCTGTTTTTAATACTAAGATGGTGTGAGATGCATGTTTAGTAAAAGTCTGAATAGCTTTTCTGTCATGGGTGAACAAATCAATAATTTGGTATCCTGGATCACATGCAGCTTTGGATCACCTCCTCATTGTTTTCTGAAGAAATCAGAATTAGACTCAAATGCTACAGTAATAAATGTAGTGTGATAGTTTGTGTGTTGTGCTATTATTGAATTGCTGAATCCCTATTGGTTTAGATAATGGATCTGTTGTGTGTTTTAGCCAATCAGAAGTCATTTTTATGAATAAAAGCACCATCTTGTAATGCTTAGTACCTTTATAAATAAATTTGTTTCCAACTGACTGACATTTTAGCAAATCAGATTGGCTTACACAGGTTTCATTTAGTATAGTAAAGGACTATTTCAAGTTAACAACTTGCTTACCTTATCTGGGCAGTTCTTGCTCATCATGAGAGGAAAGATGCGTTGGTGCAAGCATGGCACCTCTGCTTGCTCCCCACCATCACAGCCATACATGAAGACATTCTCTTTTCTACTATGACCATGAAGATCACAATACAGGAGAATGTCACGCTCCTCCATCAGTCTGTAACAAGAGAGGAAACAATATTTTACTATAAATGCTTTTTTCTCTGCATCAGCCAGGGCTGATGGGTTGCAGCAATCTTCATAGGAATAATTAAATACATAAACATATCCTTAGCTTTAAGTATATGAGTAATCCCATTGATTTCAACAGGATTACTCATGTGCTTAGAATTAAGCATGCATTAGGTGCTTTGATAGATCAGTGCCAAATAGCTCAGCACCTTACAAGACCAAACCCAAAAAGTGTGCCATGGCTTAGTAACAACAGGATCCAAGGTTGTGCATCAGAACTTTGTGTTCATTTTATTAAAACAGTTATAATGGATCAATCATTCTTCATGAGTCCAAAAAGCTGGGAGTCATTTTTGTTTAAAATGTGGGTAACTGAACTCTATTCTTTTTAGATCTCATTTCCATGATCTTCCTTTCTTCAACAACTATTATCTGGGTCTTCCCTTCCATCTCCACATTTCCCTTCCCAAATACATTCACCCTGGCAAATTTCCCCTTCAGTCCTATCAACCCTCAGTAGGAATGATCTTCAGCCACTTCAGGTGTACATTAAAACAATTTGAAGTATTGCACCAGAATGCTACTTTTATGTTCCTTCTTGTATGCCACATCATACACAAGGCACAATCTTGAGACTTATAACACACTACAAATATATAGCACAGAAGTGAGTAGCAGATAGCTCTTTTCCCATTCAGGGCAAAAGTAGTATCAGTTTCCAGTATCAGTTTTCTGCAGTATTGCAAGTTTTGGAATATGCTGCATTTTGTCTATAATTTTTTAAAAGAAACTTTGCAAAACTGCACAAGTTTTGAAAAAAAAATGGGATTTAACACATCCCCCAAAAGCCAGTTCCAGTAGGATTTCATGCAGGTGATGTGATATCACCAGAATCATTCATGCTGGATGGGTTAAATATGAGATATAATAAAAATGAGAGGTTTCAGAGTAGCAGCCGTGTTAGTCTGTATCCGCAAAAAGAACAGGAGTACTTGTGGCACCTTAGAGACTAACAAATTTATTAGAGCATAAGCTTTCGTGGGCTACAACCCACTTATAAAAATGAGGCAAATATAGTGCAAACAGTAGTTATTCTAAATAACAGACACTACAAATACAAAGGGTTTTTTTGTTCTGAAGAGAGGAGAGATGATGTTACCTTCTGATCATGTTCCGGGTGTACCAAACAGAAGGAAAAGATTCCTTCAGGTCTGATGTGTAATTACGATTTAAGTCCTGACCTGCTAAGGAGCAGCGATAATTTCCCACAATCACACCATCTGGGTTCAACATTGGTACCACTTTGAAGACAAATGTGTCACGGAGCAACCGAGCATCGCCTGAGCTGCCCAAAATGTAATCCAGAAAGCCCTTCATTATCCAGGAGCTGTTTGTTTCGCCTGGGTGCACCCTCGCAGTCAAAATCACAGCTGCCTTACGCTTTGCCTCCTTGCCACTTTCTGAGGGGCTGGTGATGGTTAAAACATACACTATGTTTCTTGCTAGTGAATGGCACAAGATGCGGATCTTGCAAAACTTTGACCTCACTGGATCTCTCGAGATGGCTGCCAGGTAGTCCTGCAGGTTGGAATAGGTGTAAGGATAGCAATGGGCAAAGTAGCAGGTGTCTCGATCATGTGGGAACTGGAATGTCCAAGTGAGTGAGAAATACTGATGCCCATCTTGGCCAAGGTTGTTTTTGTAATACTTGATTTCATCTCCTGTCCTTTGCCAGCCAACTCGGTGGATCTTCGCATCCACTTCTGAGTACAAGAGTGGACGCATACCATGGTTGTACAGGCTGGTGGGCTTGGTGAAATTGACAATGGTGAAACGATAAGGCATTCCTGCCTGAGTGTTGGTTACTCGGAAGTAGTACCATTGGGTGTGTCTGTTTGTGTAGAGGTCAGTGCGCAGTGTCAGCTGGTACTCGAATTCACTACTGGTGTACAGAAAGAAGACAAGCATTTTTAACGCTGGTTACCACAGAAATTCATTACAGACTCAGATCATGCCAGGGACTGTGGGATGGAGATGGAATTCTTCCAACACCACGATAAAGCACTGTACAATTAGCCACGTGCAAGTGTGGGGAGTTTTCCACTTTCACATAAACAATCAAAGCATATGTTGCTGCTGGGGTCAGGATGTCAGACTAGATGGAATGCGTGAGTAATATAACCACCACATTCCTTTAGTGCTTACTTAAAATAATTAAAATGTGTGACCAAACCAAGGCTCATTAAAAAAAAAATCTTGTGCAAAAAAATTCACTCAACTAAATAAAAAAATATTGTCATCTCTAAAAAAAAAAGTGTGAATGTATGCATATGAATTTGTGCATGTAGGGTGAAATGTATAGCTGTGCCGAGGGCTTACATCACCATTTTGAGGCTTCACTGCAACACCAGTGGTACACAGCCCTTGCACAAACCCTTTGTACAGAAGTGAATTTCACCTATAGATAATATTTAATGCCATGGAACGGTTATGAGATTGTTCCATTTGAAGTCCACATGAAAATATTCTTAGGGCTTATTCTGTTAGTGTAATTCAGGGTGTAGGCCCCAGCGTCACCCAGGGTACTTACAAAGGCATATTTGACTGCAGCTGGTGTCTACGCTACCTCATCAAAGAGGAAAAGATCATAAACCTACACTTTGACCACCTTTTGCAGATTCCCACTCTCAAAACGTGCTTCAAAGATCAAAGTGTTGTCCCAATCTTGAGCGATGACCTGCTTTGAGGGGAAGCTACCTCCTACTCGAGAATACACAAAACAGGATTCCTCGTTAGCTAGTGAAAGGAGCAGAACATACATATTATTCAGTTGTTAATGATTTCCAGCAATGCCTAAAACCTTTTACAGGAATTACACACTTGATTTTCAGGGCATATCTAGGGTAAATTCTCAAAGGAGTCGTGCAATGTTTTAGTCACTCCTTCCCAATGCCTTTCAATCCACTACATGGCTAAAACATCACCATTATGCTTTGAAAACTTCTATGGTTACTATTTGTTGCTATTACTGTAAAGCTCCCTTTTTATTTATAAACAGTCTCTGTATTAAATGTATCTTGTTTACAAGTGACAAGCTAATGCATTAACCCACCAGTTCCCAAACTGTGGTCACCGATGGGAGAACTTACTGTTTACATAGTTTTAATTTGCCTCCTTTATTGCAGCTGCTAAATCAGATTAAAAGAAACTAAAATGTTTCCATTATTACTTTCTATGTATGCAATTGCTGTAGTTGCCAGAGGGATGTTATACAATCATGACCTTAGAAAGAAGATGGTCTGTCCTATCATGACTTGAAGGAGTGAGGTCCATGAGACAATTTCTCTATTAAGATATGATCCATGCTATAACAACATATTAGCAATGGATTAGGTTACCTAGGGAGATGGTGGAATCTCCATCCTTAGAGGTTTTTAAGGCCTGGCTTGACAAAGCCCTGGCTGGGGTGATTTAGTTGGTGTTGGTCCTGCTTTGAGCAGGGGGTTGGACTAGATGACCTCCTGAGGTCCCTTCCAACCCTAATCTTCTATGAGTCTAACATTTTAAACCCCTGCATCAACCCATCTCACTACTTATTCTTCAGTTCCCCTCCTAAAACCTATTGTGCACTGTTTCTGGCAAAAGAATAGTTACCATATGCAGCCAAGAGATGACTGGGTGTATTTAAATCCTAAAATCCTGATTCAGCAAAGCACTTAAGCATATGCTTAATACCCATTGACCTTAATGTAAAGCACATGCTGAAGTGTTCAGAACTTGAGCCTAAATTAAGTGATTCCTATACAATATAAAGCACCTTGAGATTTCCCTTGATGGAAAGTGCTATCCACACTTAGAGTTTTATAACACCTGCCTCCTACTTCTATTATTGTTACTGGGAGCTATGCACAAAAATCCATTAATCATTATAAAGGCCTTACATTTAAATAGGGCCTGTCATCCCAATGCACATTACAGACATAGACTGATATAAAAAATATATAAAGAATATCGCTTCATTCACTGCTCAAACACTGCTCTGTCCAGACTGAAATGCATACAGAACACTAGGTGAGTGAGGCAGGAAATGATAAATACAATTTCCAAACTGCAGGTGGAATTTTAATTAAGCAGAATGTAATTATCCAAGTGGGTATTTGGCCAGGACAGCAGGATTAAAACCTCATCTCTTGTGAAAGGTGCCATGGGTCTTTAACACCTTAATCCCCAAGAACCACACACCCTTTGTAACATGGTTTGTATGCAGCAATAAAGAATTCAGGGGTTAATGACTACAACTGGTTGAGATCTTGGTTTCACATAACATCCAAAAGAAGGTGATTTCAGCAACAGAGCTCCCCTAACACTATTGTGGTTCAGAAGAGAATCAGAAAACAGAGTAACACCAAATGAATCAAAAGTACCACTGCCAGCAGCAATTAGCTATCCCTTTAGAGATCTGTAGTTAAATAGACTCCCAACCTGACTCTGTTTAACTTAAGAGAGTTGACAAGGTCATAGTATAAGTGATAAGTTGCAAACAGGATACTGGAAGTCTCCTGCCAACATGTACCTCCAGTTTTATCCCTGCAATTATGGAAGAAAATCATTTTTGAACTTTCATACTCTCTTTGCTCAAATATTATGAAAACATCACTAGAGAGAGATTAATTAACAAACTAGTTTCAGGCTATTTCCCACTGATGTTCAGAAACTGCTTGAACTGCACTTTTAAGGTTGTTAATAACAAAGGTTAAGATTTTGTCTCGGTTATTTTTAGTGAAAGTCACAGACAGGTCATGGGCAATAAACAAAAATTCACAGGAGCCCTGACCTGTCTGTGACTTTTACAAATAATGTGGCAGGGGAAAAATGTCACCTGGATCTAAATGGGGGGAACTGACAGCCCCAACCCCACTGCCACGAGGGGGCATAGCCCTGGCCCGACCCTGCCAAAGCTGTGGGATGGGGGCACACAGCAGTGGCTCTGCCCCCAGCCGAAGCCACAAGGGGTGGGCACACAGCACCAGCTCTGGCTACAGCAGCAGGGGACGGAGGGGGGGTGCACAGCCCCAGCTTCGGCTGAAGGAGTGGGGGGCTGGGAGGGCAGGCACACAGCCCCGGCTGAAGCCGCGAGAGGAAGCAGGGGCGTGCAGCCCCGGTTGAAGCTGCGGGTTGGAAAAGCACAGCCACAGATCCTGCTGCAGCTCCGAGGAGGACACACAGCCCCTGCTCCGGCCAAAGCCATGGGTCCAGGATGCACAGCCCTGGCTCCGCCTCCACCGCTGACAGCTGAAGCCAAAGTCATGGAAGTCCAGTAAAGGTACAGAATCTGAGTTCCCTGACCTCTGTGACTAAATCGTATCCTTATTAATAACATAAGCAGAATCCATGGATGGGGAGAGAGCTCTAATTAATTTCTATATCTTCAGATATAGGAGCTTATCCAAAACTCATTAAAATCATGGGAGAATCAGGCCCCCCCAAAATAAAAGAAATCCAGTCAATCAAAATGGGTGCCAAAATTACATGCACCTGGTAATAACATTTCACAATGTGCTCCCACCTTCATCTGCTGAATAAACCACCGTGCCCTCTCTGGGGTATTGGTACAGTGGCTCGAGCTCCAGGCCCGTTGGGTGGTACAGTGCCTCAGGCTCACGGGGAATCCAGTCTGAAAAAGAAGAGACAGAGAGAACTAAACTACAAAGGGTGTCCACCACAAATGAAGGCTCTGAATGCTGCTCCTTGAATCTTCTCCCTGCTTGCCAGGCAGCAACGTCAAAATGGTTTGTGGTAGGAATAAGTGAATCATGCCTTTTGGAAGATCAGAGTTTTTCTTAGGTTTATACAAGGGTTTTATCAGCTCACTCTTTACCTTGATAATTTGCCTTTAAATACATCATCTGCATGGATGTCATGTTTTGGGGTGCAATTCAGACCAGTAAGAAGTTGTGTCACTGCCTGACCTGTAACTGGGGGTGCCTTAAATGCTCTGCTGCTGTGGCTCAGAGCCCAGACACCAACAGATAAGCATACAGTTCCGTGTGTGTGTGTGCTGGGGAACTGTGGTTCAGAACTCTGACCCCAGCAGCCTGCCTACAACACAACACCCCACCCTTGTCCCCACCAGCCTTGGTTACTATTTATAGGGTGATACCAATACACGTCCAGTCCTGAATTTCCCCAAAACCATCTGCCCTGTAATGTCCAGTCTTCTCTTGGAACTCAGAGAAGTAATAAGTTTCTTTGCACCTTTAAAGAAACAAAAGCACTGGTTATTACTTTAAGTGGAGTTAATAATTACTTCAATTCAAACCCAGCACTAAATTGGTTTAGATTAAAAGTAAAACAAATGTATTAACAAAAAGAGAGGTTTTAAGTGAGTTCAAGAACAAGAGTTGAAGACAAAATGGTTACAAGCAAATAAAAGTAAAATATGCTTTCTAGTGGCTAAGGGCTTTCTACACACTTGAAATGCTACAGCAGAACAGCTGCAGTGCTGCAGCTACAACGCTGTAGCACTTCAGTGTAGACACTACCTATGCCGATGGGAGTGGTTCTCCCATTGGCGTAGGTAATCCACCTCCCTGAGAGGTAAACTAGGTTGATGGAGGAATTCTTCCATTGACCTAGTGCTGTCTACACCGCGGATTAGGTCGTCTTAACTACTTCACTCAGGGGTGTGGATTTTTCAGAAATATAGCTGGGTCAAGCTAACTTTTTAGCGCTGACCAGAACCAAGACTTCACTCAACAATCTACAGCCTTGGTTCAAGGTAGATTTCTTACCAATCTCTTTCTTTCCAGCCAGGGCTGGTTTTCTCTCAGTTAGAACCTTCCACAGAAGTACAAACGCTGGTTTCCCTTGTCTTCCTAAGTGAAAGATCTTTGGCTAAGCAGGTTTCTCACATATATTCAGTTCCCACAGACTTCAACTCACTTGGCTGAAGGACTCATCTGTCTCATCTTGCAAGAATTCTGGCCCCTTCTGTCTATTCAGTGATGGATGCCAAGATGGCTTTTTTTCTCTCCTTATATCTTCCCAAACTCACTGTTTTGTCCCCAGATTCAGGATGACCTCATGCTGTTCTTCCTTCCTGTGGGCTTCCAATCCCCCTGTTGATTGGTATGTAAATGGAGCTTCCATTGTTTTTGGTCACATCTTGCTTAATTTCATTAGACACAGGTAGATACAGTAAAACCTGTCAAGAGCGACCACTCGTGGTAGTTAGCAAAAGTGATCACTTGTAAGAGGTGGTCTCTCTTCAAACGTTTGCACACTAGAGAACGGTGGTGTTCTATGGCCTCTGCAGGTAATTGCTCGTGACATGTGGTCTTTTTTCAGAAGTGCTCTCTAAAGCAGGTTTTACTGTAGCTGCCTTCCCTCCTGTCTAGGAGAAAATCTGTTTCTCCTTTTGTTGGGTCACAGACTTTAAAGCATAATATCAGTGAGTATTCATAATTCCTCACATAGTGTTAACACATACATTTTACAATTATATGAATGACCAATGTGTTACTGGTTATCATAACAGACCTTACTTGATACACTTTTATAATACAGCAATATCACATACAATCAGTTGATTCAATTGCTTATCACTTGATGTTCAGACCTCCGCAAGAGGCTCTCTTGCCTACTCGCTAGGTTGATGGCTTTGTTTACCTTTTATGTAAATGTACCTTCATTGTCTGTGCCAGATGACCAGGCAGCTCAGACAAACAAATACACATTCGTTTGCCCAAGGCAGACTGTGCTTATGCATTGCTTGCCAAACTCATTTTAAGAACATAATTCTAGCATATATTCATAACTCTTTGTACACACCTTGTACATACATCACACAAGAATATGAATTATCAGTGAGTTATTTGTTTTCCAATGATATCTTACATAACCCCTGTTAGATACAGAGTCTGACAAGAGTGTGTTAGGTGTAGTGAGTATGTCAAGTCTGACAAGAGTTGCTGACACAAAGAGTGAACCACAAATGGGCATCTGTGTCACAGTGGGTTACTTTAAAAAAGATCAGTGCATAGGGAAAGAGGAGAAAAAAATATAGGTAGTGAAGGTCTACTGTCCACAGTGGCTGTTTGACCAAAACCAACATATAAGTAACTATCTTAACTCAAAGGACAAGGGGTGTTGCAGAAAGAAAAATGGAAATCCACATGGTCCAGAGATGCATACAGCTTGTTAAAAGTATGGAGAAATTTATACACGATGACTGTTTGCTGGGATTATTTAACTTGTAAAGAAAAGTCAGCAAGGCTGGACTATTCAAATTATGAAGGACACATTGAAAGTGTAGCTGTCCTTCCTTTTTATCCTACCCTAGGATAAAAGAACAGGGTAGTCAATTGATTAAATTAAAGGGCAATAAATTTGGACCACACTTTTAGTACCTACAAATAATTCTCATTCACAATTCGAAATAAAAACAAGTATTGGGGGTGTGTGTATTATTCTCTGGTAAATCTTATTTTCTACATTCCTATACTACTCCTGGTAATGCTAGTGAATGGAAGTCTATCAATTTAGACATCACTGTTGTTAACACTCTGGATCTTTGCTTATGACATGACTAGAGTTCTCAGCCCATAAAACAGTTTGTAAGGCAGTGGCTAGAGGCTTCAATTACAGCTATCTGCACAGTCACATGAAGGGTGTCAAAATAAGGCCCACAGAATCAGACGTACAACTTCCATTATTGATAATGGGAGACTGCACAACTCATTCTCTTTGTTAAAACTGTCCACTCGATATAAGAAAATGCTGTATCAAACTAAGGATCATGCCTTCTCCATCATACCATGGGCCAGGCATATAGATACAGAAGTGCTCATCTGTACATTTTAAATAAAAAAAAGTGTTTATATATTTGAAATATTCGGTCCTCACCTCTTCTTCGGTCAAGGACAAAGGCAAGAACTGGAGTTGTATGAAAAGGGATGTCACATATCTATAATATGGGCTGCAGATTTTTCCTCCCCTAAGGAAGGGGGAGCAGAAAACTTTTTTGCTATGGATAAGGCAAGCAAATTTGGGATCCTAGAGAAAAGTAAGACATTAAACATGTTTTGCTGCAAAGTTCACCTTTAAACCATTAATCAAGAGGTGAAAGTCTCCATTATGCCCATTACCAGTAGTCTTCTGAGTGATCCAGTTCCTGTACTAATTTCCAAAAATTATGTGATTTTGATTTAACTCCTTTTCTTCCCCTGCAGTTAATGTATATTAAAAACAGGGTTGAGAATCAGGGCCATCGACAGTTCAATCTCACCTCCGAAAAGCACATTATCTCCATTGATTGCTCCCAAACCACAGTGAATTTTATCAATAAAGCACAGGGACTGGCAAGGAAAGTTCTTAATAGTATCCCAATAGCTTTGATAAAGATTCATCTGTAAAAATTATGAAGAGTTAAGTATTAGTATTATTAATGACCAATATTTAGGACTTACCAATGTGCTCAATTCTGTCCCTGATGACCTCACATTGGTGTGGCCAACGTATTAAGCTCAGGTGGCCTGCAGGGGATATGCCATAAAGATTGCGAGGCTCACGAAGCCGGGGTATCCATCTCCCAGAGTTATATGCCAAGATAATCTGTTTTGTCCGTGGGAAAAGCTGATCACAAATGGAATCTATGTGAAAATGAAAAAATACACTAGTCTCTTCAGTCCTTCAAGTGACAGCATGCAAAGCCAATTGGTCCGAAACTAATGGATACTCCAGGACCCCAGAATGGTTTCATGAATTTACTGTCATCCCACTGAAAAAAGGATCAATGCTGCATGCTATAAATCACCCTGAATTTAAAAAGCTGAGTTAAACGGACAGTGGATTATATCTATCACAAAATACATCAAGCATTCTGCTATAAGTAATAAACAGGATAAATATTTCAAGCCAGGACCCTTCATTTGAGCCTTTGTAGATATGTATTAGCAGCTTTTAATAGAGTTGGGAAGGATTTGTTTCATGTAAGTCTCTTAGTTATAATTGTTAGGGGTGTTGAATGCAGGGGGAACAGGGGCACAACCAGAATTTTCCTAAGGAGGGAGGCCCAGGTAAGGTCACGTGCCAAGTAACAGAGGTCACATTCTGAGAAGTTCACATCTGTATATGGGGTTCCTCACCTTCATATTGCCGCATGGCACATGTATGTCCTCAGTAAGTTGCCATCTCTCCTTCTGGAGAGGGCCCGGAAGAGGTGGACGAAGTAGCATGAGGAGATGGCAGTCCAGGGTTCTAGGAAAAGGGAAGCTGGGGGTGGGAAGGGAGGTGGATGAGTTCTGGTCAGTCTCTCTCACCTGGGTCCGAGACCTGGACCCAGGGAAGAAGCAGAGAATGAAGCTGTCAGCAACTGGCGAGAGCAGGGGCAGGAGCACCTCCAGGATACCACAGACCCAGAAAACAAGGCCACCATCTCCTCATGCTGCCTCCTCCATCTCTTCCACTTCTGGGCCCACTCTGGAAGGAGAAATGGCAGTTTGGCGAGGACTTTCACAGGAATTTGTTGTAGCGCCTGTGGCCAAGGGTGAGTTAGGTCCTGGGCTCATGGGCCCCTCTCTTGTTGCACCCCTGGAGGGAATTTTATCTTTTCAAAGTGTTCAGTTTATCCTTGCTTACTACTTTCTCTGGGTCTGCTTTGTGTCAGCACAACAAATAGAGACTGGGGTAATGCCTTTTCATCTCTGGGAACCTGGGTTCAAATCTAGATTATGTCTAGAGCATGTGGAAAAGAAATTAGTTTACCTGTCTCATTTTCATTCCTAGTGGATAAATGTTCACATCCTGAAGCTACCACACAATTTGGCAAGATCAATAGTTTCTGATCAAAGGAATGCAGCAAATTATGGCTGAGGTGCATTAGCTGAACAACTGCGTGAGTAAGCATATATAGCTTTTGCTCAGACTACACTTGGCTTTTTTGTCACTCGCATGAGTACTAGCATCCCTTCTCATCCTCCCTTGTGACCTTGCAGTGAAAGTGTATGGGAATAAATGGAAGGGTTCTAACCTGTGAAAAATGCACACTGCTCAAGATCTTCTGCCACAAATGGGTTAAAGGGATCTTCATCCTAAAAATAAAACAACAGGATAGGCTCCTCTTGTTTCTATTTAACCAAAAGGAAGGAGCAATAGCATCTGTCCTGGTACATGTTCTAGAAGGATACGTGGTTTTCAACAGTGAGATTACTCACTTGTTCATTATTATTATGAAGACACTATATCATAATGCAAACATTTCAGTGGTGGGGGAGAGGAGGACATGCCACTAAGGCAGTGTTTCCCAAACTTGGGACGCCGCTTGTGTAGGGAAAGCCCCTGGCG